CTTGTTCTGGCGCGCCGCGTGCGTCGCAGCCTCGTGCTCGGGGATGCCCTGCGCCGCCGCCACGCAGCGCGAGCGCGTGTGCAGTTTGCATTGGCCTTGATCCCCCTTCCGCAGCTTGGGGCGCTGAGGGTTGTGCTCTGAAACTGCGGCGTAGCGGCGCATTTCGCCACGTTTGAGCTCGTCCACGTACTCCACCATCATGACCTTCCAGTCATCCAGCTCAGCGCACTCACGACACCAGCCCAGGCGCTGCGGCGGGAGCCAGTGCGCACCCATGCAGTGCACGTAGCCCGCCGCGAGGTAGTCCACGCCCGTCATCATCTCAGCGTCCTCGAGCTCAGCGGCCGCGCCGCCGCTCGGTGAGGGGGCTTTGCCGTAGGCGGCCTTGTTGCTGCGACGGCGGTGGCGTTTGCCGCCGCGCCCGCTGAGGGCGCCCGTGGTCGCCGCACTCGGGGCCTCACTGGCGGTCTCACCGCCCCTGAGGCGGCAGCCGTCGGCGTCGCTGCGCGCGCCCCGCCCGCCGTGGCCGCTCACAGACTGCCCCCGCCGCTGGAGGTTGCGGAGCGCGAGGGCGATCGCGTCCAACCCGCGGCGCTGCTCCACGGTGAAGTTGGAGTAGGTGGCCGCCGCCGCCAGGGCCGCCTTCGTCACTGGCACCACCGCCGACGGGGGCATCGCCGAGGGCTCAGCGGGCGCCCTGGCCGTCGCCGCGGGGGCGCCGTCAGAGGCACCGTCAGAGGCAGCGGCGCTGGGGGCGGCCCCCGCACCGCTGCCTCCGTCGGCACCCTCAGCAGGCGTCGCCGACTACTACTACTCGTACAACTACAACTGCTACGACTACTACAACTCCTACGACTAACTGCGACTACTACGACTACTACCACTACCACTACTACGACGACGACAACGACTACTACTACTACTACTACTACTACTACTACTACTACTACTACAAGTGTTGCTAGTACTGCCCGTGCTACTACTACTACTACCACTACTACTACTACTACTACAACTACTACTACTACTACTACTACTACTACTACTACTACCACTACGACTACGACTACTACGACTACTACGACTACTACGACTACTACTGCTACTACTACTACTACTACTACTACTACTACTACTACTGCTACTACTACGACCACCACTACGACTACGGATACCATTACTACTGCCACAAGTATACCTACCAATATTCTTACGACCTGTACGGCCACGGCTACTACTGCTACGACTACTACAACTACTACTACGACCATTGCTACTACTTCTACTACTGCTACTACTATCACTACTGCTACTACTACTTCTACTACTACGACTACTACGAATATGACTAGTACTACAGCTTCGACTACGACTACGACTACGACTACGACTACGACTACGACAACGACTACGACCACGACTAGGACTACGACTACGACTACTACTACTACTACTACTACTACTACTACTACTACCACTACTACTACTACTACTACTACTACGACTGCTGCTGCTGCTGCTGCTGCTACTACTACTACTACTACGACGACTACGACTACGACTACGATTGCTAATACTACTACGACTACTACTACTACTACTACTGCTGCTACTACTACTACTACTACAGCTACGACTACGACAACGACTACGACTAGGACTGCGAAAACGACTGCGACTACTACGACTACTACTACTACAACTACTAATACTACTACTACTACCACTAGTACTACTACCACTACTACTACTACTACTACTACTACTACTACTACTAGGGCTGACCGGGGGATGGTGGCCGGGCAGTTCGTCCGTGAGACGACTTAAGGGTGGTGATGGAAGTTTCGCGTTTCCAACGGCTTTAACAAACAAAAAGAAGATTGTGGGTGTGGGTGTGGGTGTGGGTGTGGGTGTGGGTGTTGGTGTGGGCGGGGTGTGGGTGTTTCATGTAAGATGTATGATGATGTATGATGATGTGAGATGGTGTATGATGTTGTACGATGATGTATGCTGATGTATGATGGTGTACGATGATGTATGATGATGTATGATGTTGTGCGATGATGTATGATGATGTATGGTGTTGTACGATGATGTGTGATGATGTAATGATGTATGATGACTGTTGTGTGGCGTTTGATTATGTTAGATGTATGGTGATCGATGGTGTATGATGTTGGATGTTTGATGTTTGATGTTGAACGATTTCGGATGTTTGACGTTTGAGGTTTTATGTTAAAGGATGTTGGCTGATGCTTGATGTTTGACGTTTGGTAGTTGTTGACGTGTGATGTTTGATGATTGTTGATGTTTGATGTTTGATGATGTATGATGTTTGGTGTTTCATGTTTGATGATGTTTGATGTATGTATGATGTATTATGATGTATGACGCATGGTGTACGATAGTGTATGACGGTGCATTATGATGTATGGTTTTTTTTGTTGTGTATTATGATGTATGATGTATGATGTTTGGTGATGTTGTATGATGTATGATGTTTGATGATATATGATGTTTGATGACGTATGATGTTTGATGGTGTACGATGTTTAATTATGTAGGATGGTTGATCATGCATGGTGTATGTACAATGTTGTACGACGCATGATGGTGTATGGTGTATGTGTAATGTTGTATGGTGAATGATGGTAGGGTGTATGTATAAAATTGTACGATGTCTGATGATGCATGCTGCATGTATAATGTTGTATGGTGCATGGTGATGTATGATATATGTCTCATGTTGTATGATGAATGATGTTGTATGGTGTATGTATCACGCCTTCGTCGTCAAGCCTCCCAGGAGGCTTCCCAGGAGGCCCTAGAGGCCTGTCAGGAAGCCCTAGAGGCCTCTCAGGAGGCCCCAGAGGCCTCTCGGAAGGCCCAAGAGGCCTCTCAGGAGGCCAAAGAGACCTCTCCGGATGTCCGAGGGGCCTGTCGGGAGGCTTAAGAAACCTCACAGGAGGCCCAAGAGGCCTCTGAGGAGGCCCCAGAGGCCTCTCAGGAGGCCCCAGAGGCCTCTCAGGAAGCCCAACAGGCTTCTCAGGAGGCCAAAGAGGCGCTCCGGATGCCCAAGGGGCCTCTCAGGACGCCAACGAGGCCCCCCAGGAGGCCCAAGAGGCCTCCCAGGAGGTCCAAGAGGCCTCTCAGGAAGCCCAAGAGGCCTCTCAGGAGGCCTCTCAGGAGGCCCAATATGTCTCTCAGGAGGCCCAAGAAGCCTGCCAGAAGTGTGTGAGGGTGAGGAGGACCAATGGACCGACCCCACCCCCGAGTGTCCGTCGGTAGACGATGAGGGACGATGGTTTTACCCAACGTACCTCCAAGTATCGAGTACCTGTCATCCGAGCCAAGAGGGGCGATGGATATGAGCAAGATAGGAGGAAAGTAGGGGGATTCACACACACACCCCGTCCCGATCCCGCCCGATGCCAACGCACAAAAGCGAAAGGCACCGAAGCGGGGATCGGGATAGGAGAGTGAATCTCTACTGAACTCCTGTCTGCAATCCACTGCTTCGGCCCAGGAAGGAAAGGAAGGGACAGCCAAAGCTCTGTCGTAAGGTTCGTACCCAACGGCGGCGCTAACCTGCAAAAAGTTTTACAGCGCCAGCCGCCGAGATAGAACCCAGGACAGTGCTGTGGGCTGGAGAGAAGTGGAATGGAGAGACTGAACTCTTATGACACCGACCCAAACGGTCGGTGCCCGAAGCAACACATGATAATCATGAATATGAAGTCTTCAATCCAATACCAAATCAAAGTAATCAAATCAGTCACGGTACGAGGGTGGTGAAAATCTTTTTATGCAAGTTCCATATCCAATCTGTACCAGATGCAATATGTACGTCTTGCCACAGTTCAAATCTAAAGGATATTTATGCAATTGTGCATTATGCGATTTTTTTTTTTTGAATCTATATGAGTAGTATTATCCCATCATGAGGATAGCTGTCACCATAAACTTTCTCACAGTTGTTGAGTCCATGAAGAGGAAGAATCCTTGAAGTGATATACTGATCAAAAGGTAAGTGCGAGCGTCCTCGAATACTACATGTCATCGAAGAAAATGATATAATGCATCAATAGGCACATCAACAATACGATAAAGTTGGAAGCCATTCAAAATCTTATGGGCGGCATGGCAACCAGTTTCCTGGTGCGTCAGCGTGGAGGGTCCCAGCGCCATGATCTGCCCGTATATTTCCCCGATATGTACTTCTTATTCCATGCAGTCGCGCCCCATCCATTATTGACGAACGGATCCCACGCTTTGATCCAGATGAACTCGCCCCAATGGTCGTACCACTGGCGGTCATACGGTGCAATTTGCCTGTCATAATAGTGGGCACCGTATTCAGCACTGTACCCGTGGGTCACATTCGAAATGGCGGGGCGCTTTGCCAGAGGTGGTCCATCATCGGGACGCGCAGGCGCATATCTGGCAGCGGAGGCGGTATGGCCATGGCTGTCGAACGCGCCGGAAGAAGTACGATACTCGGATGTGTGTGGTGGTGGCTGGGGGGTTGGATCGGTCCCGCTCCCCCTAAAGTCACCCCCACTACTGCTTCCTGGAGCGTTGCCGCTGCGGTTTCCCGCTGCACTGGCGGTCTCCTGAAGCTGAGAGTAGTATTCTTCGCGCTCTCGCTTAACACCGGATCGGATCTCGTCCCGGGACCCAGTCAAAGACTGTGGGTGTGCACGAATTTCTGCGGCGGTGATGGCACCGCGGAGAGATTCGCCCGGGACGTGAACGGTAAGGTGGTTGCGCTGAAAACGTTCACGAAGTGTTTCGGCTCCAAGGTTCGGCGCTCCGACCTCTTTCCTCTTTTTGGAGGCCTGCCAGAGGCGATCGGCCTCAGTGGCAACTTCTAACGTCCATGCAACCCTACCAGCCTGAGTCCGAACTGTCGTCATCTGCTCACGAAACTCATCATCCTCCGCAAAGCGCTGTGCTAGAGACATGTATGGATGATACATGGGAGGATAATTTGGATTCTCAGGCGGGATGCCGTCCGCGTCGGCGTCTGCACGTAGCTTGTCGCACTCCTCCCGAGATGGAGAATTCCAAGCTAGCCACTTCTGATGCCGTTTGTCAGCTTTCTTCCCCATGTTTTGAAGCTCGTCTTTAGCGTCTGTCTGTGGCTTCTTCGAGCCACGCGTATCAATGGGGGCAGCTGTGATGCGCTGGGCGACGTCATCCGGCTGAGTGGCGGCAAACGCAACGAACTGTTCTCGCCAGGCCGCAACTTCGTCCGGCCATTTGGAGTTCTCGTACCTCATGCAAAAGGCACATTTCAGAGTGGCCCCAGGCGTGTCCAAATCAGCTGGCATCCGAGCGTTGCAAATTGCGCAAGACGGGATGCGAGTCTGTAGCTCTGGAGGTGCCAGTCCTGTGCTCTCGTCGAACTGAACGACCCCTGCGAGCAGGGTCGCGAAATTCTCCTGAGATACGCTCCCACCTGGCGCAGAGACGATTTGGCGGGCCCGATCGAGGTGATCAGGTTCAAGTGGGGCAAAGATCTTCTCGTCGTCTTCGTCCAAGATCTTGTCAAGGTCGCTGCGGTTTCCCGCTGCACCCTGAGACTCGGCGGAGGCGGAAGCAGCGACAGCCTGGTATGCATCTTGGAGAACTTGAGTGGCGAGTGTGCGTTGTGATAACTGTGAACCAACGACAGATTCAATAACGGTTTTGGTAGCCTCCACATTGTCTTGCGATGCTAGGGTTTCCCCTTGCTTCGTAGCCAATGTGGAAATCTTTCCGTCGTGGGGCGCCTCATTCACGAACTCATCCTCCACATAGGTCTCTGTGCCCATGCGGAGTGCAGCAAGGCCAGGATGATTCTGCACAACCTCGGCGTTCTCAATGTCGATGAGTGCAAATTTGTCGCCAGCCTGCTGGTAGAGGTTCAAGTATGCCATGGCGCACCATGAACGTCTGCCGTATGCCAGGGTTCTGTATCGGAAAGTACCAATGCACTGGAAAAGGTACTTTGTGAAAGCTCTGTGTCCACATTGGTCTGGGAAACGGTGACACCATGGTGCATCGCAGTTGAACTCGAAGGTCATTGTTGTATTTGCGATATCGTCCATGTTCAAGACAACGGTGTACTCCATGGTCTGCTTCACTTTGGTGTTAACGACACCGTGATGCCCAGATCTACGAACAATGTGGACTTTCTTGACTGCTTTGAAATAGTCTGGTAGGTCGGACTGATCTGGTCCATATGTGAGAGTTTTCTCCGCGTTATCCTCCATTGTTTCGATTTCATTGCGGATATCATTCAGCTCTGGGGACCAGTCATCCTTCTTGAGGAAGTCATCATCAGCATGTTCTGGAACATGTGGCACAGTGTCACCATTGCTGCGATTTCCCGCTGCGCCGTCATCATAACTTTCCTCTGGAAAATCCGTTGGTACAGGGATTTCGGTCGGCGAGCTCTGGTCCTGTGTGGGGACCGGCATCTCTGTAGGTGAACTGTGATCGTCTGCCGCCAGAGGGTGATCCTCCGCTGCCGGCGGAGGATAGTCGGGCGAGTGTGGAGTGATAGTCGGCGACGGAGGGTCAACTGCCATTGGTGTCGGTTCTGGTACGACTGTCGGCGATGACTGGGCCGGAGGTACATCGTCAGTGGGCACGTCCAAAGACTGAGGGCTCCTGATCAATTTAAGCAATTCACCTGGCTCAGCTTCACGAGCATCTATGTCGGCGACCTCCTCAACCTCTGGGGGCTGTTGACTGGGGGCGCTGCGGTGTCCCGCTGCACTAGAGGCGTCTGTATGCCTCTGGCGCAGTGGAGCACGAAGATCTCCCACAGCCCTGACGTCACTGGTCGGCGTCATGATCGCATGACGGGGTGGAAAGTTAACTGGGGGACCGAAGCGAAGGTCATCTGGGAGTGAGTTGGCGTCAAAGTCTGGGCAAGGTACAACGCGGGCAAGCGTGTTGCCCGCAAGCATGCCCTTCGTGCCATCCCAAACGTTCATCCAGTGATCTCCGATTTTCACGGTCACGTATCCCATGAACTGGCCTACCTCGCGAATGGGTCCGAATAGGGATCCCATTGGTTCGCCTTCATGAGGGCTAACGCGCTCGCCAACCCAGGAACCATCTGAGTGTTTCGATGGCGGGTGAGAGTAAAAGTAGCAAGCTTGTCTTGTTTGAACGTAGTCTCCAATCCGATAGGTCTCGTGGGGACCCATGGGCGGCCAGGCTGACGTGATGTGGCTAACGCGGCCCTCAGTGGCAGCCTGTAGAAACCATTGGTCGTAACGCTCGTGAATCTGACGATTACGCTCGCGCTCCTGGTCTGTTGTCAACTGCGAAGCTGCGGTTTCCCGCTGCATAACAGTTGGTATAGAGACGTCAGGGGCGGATGTGTCGCCAGACTCGTCACGATGTGCTCGGATCGGGGGTGCCACAGGGCGGATGTTAACCAACCCGACGGCCTTTCTAGCCGCTGTTAAGGCATTGATTGCATCAGCGAGTCTACTCTGTGTCCTCAGCAGCGCGGCCTCGGACTTAGCAAGGGCGGCTTCCCTCTCGGTGGCCTTCTGGGCAGCAGCCGCGGCCGCGTTGTGTGGGTCTAACGTGAGGCCCTCAACTCCCTCGGAGACTTCTTCCACGGCTGTATCTCTCGGCGCGGCGGTCTCCCGCTGCTCTGCTGCGATCTCTCGCTGCACGTGCGGGGGGGCCGAAGCGATGGGAGTGTGTGCCGGTGGAGGTCCTGGGGGGAGCGGCGGAACAGGCGGCGAAGCCTTGGCAATACCTTGTCCAGGTACAGCTCCCACTGGTGGCGGCGCATGCCGTGGTGGCGGTGGTGGAACCCTGTTGTCGCCCACGACCTGGCCAGGATACACGTTGGGAGCGATCGGCGGCGGTAACTCTCCTGGAGGAGGTCTGCCGACGCCTTCTGGTGGCGGGGCCTTCCTCTGGGGTGTCTTGGGAGCACGTTGCCCAGGCTGGCCTGGCTGGAGTGGAGTCGGAGGCGGAGGCGGAGGCGGTGGAGGCTTCTTTGGCACATCGTTGCCTCGAGCCAGGGGTCTGGGCTTGTGCAAAGTCGGAGCAGACGGTTTAGGTGGGGTTGGAGGTGCAGCTGCGGTTGCCCGCTGCGCATCGCCCCACGGGTTATTGCCATGGCCATACACTTGCCATGGCCACGAAACTGTGGAGCGCTCATACTTGGACCGTGGCTCAGAATCACGAGGAGGTCTGGCCAGGTCGTCGTCGTCTGGGCGCCCCCAGATTATTTTGCCGGTAGCGATGTTCCTGCAACGAATAAGACAATGTACTGGGATGTCGCGTTCTGCCATTATCGCGCCCTGTTTACCCTTCCACCAAGTGATGCCAGCCGTAGCGCATTTCTGATGGTCAATCTGAAATTCACACTGTTTCTTAGCGGAATGAAAGACGTACGGCGGTATGGTGGTGTAGGGGTTCTGGCCGCAAGAGTGAGAGAAAGGATGAGCGGAGGCAAAGACCTCGGCACGGGTTGCCCCATGCTTGTGGTCTCGCTTGTCGAATCCTTTGATTATGCCTGGGTTAGACCTTGGTGAGCCTTCGGTAATGCTCCGCACTGAAGACAGCTCGGTTGCGTGCCAGAGATATGGAGTGTCATGAACAGACAACTCCTCCCAACCCATGTTGTGGGCTGTGGAATATGGGTGCACCTCGGACTGACCACCTGTGCTTCGTATGGCCAAGATGCGGCCGAACGGAAACGTAAGTGGATTGAGGTCAGAGCCGACGGGTGCAAACACTTCTGTGCGCGACTTTCCATCTGCATGGTATTGCAGCATACGAATGGCCATGTAACAATAGTAATCGGCCAAGTCGATGTAGTCACCATTGTCACGCTCAGTTTCCCAACACGCTAGGACGGCCTCGTTCGTGGGTGTCTTGCGGTATTCCCATTTCTCCTTCTTTTTGTGGTAGTATTCTTGCTGGCTGCGCTGCCAGCAATTCATCGCACACTCTCGAAAGGTGGATGTCTTGGAAAAATCGATGTTCAGACGCCGATCGTGATATGCGTTGGTCACTCCACTTGTGTGACGGAGTATCGTCATGAGAAACTTGCTAAACTCCCAGCGTCCGAAGTCGCATCCATCAGGAAGAGGTGGGCCGTATGGGCAATCTCGCCATGGGGGCAAGGCGATCCACTCATATGCTCCCTCGAACCAGCGGCTGCCGACGAGATCGTCGGCGTATTTGAGCACGTGAATGTCCTGTTCATTGGTCAGGCGCCGCGGGTCGTTCTCGGGGACATTGTCCGGGATTGTTCTGCGAAGCAGTGGATCGACATCAAAAATGACAATGGCATTTGGATGATCGGGATCAATCAATGCTAACTCTCGTGGGGTCTTCCATCTGTCCATGTCATCTGTACGCTTCTTGACCCCGGAGAAGTAGCATGCCCGCTGTGGTGTCAAAACTTCGTACTTGGACGATGTCTCTTCGGCTACGGTTTCCCGTTGCAAGACCGTGTCATCGTCCTCGGACTCAGCGGTCGTCATCGGGTGGTTGTCCATCCACTGCTGGGCCTCCGGGTTGAGAGCCATTTCTTCCGCCAATCGGAGGTGCCGGGCATCGCCTTTACCGTTCTTCATAAGGTCAGGGTCGAGCAGGTAAAGGCCGGCGTAAATGGCGGCACACAGTCGTGCGTGTCTCTCGCGCCAGGAGGTCTCGGATGTGCATTCCATGTAGCCAGTGATCCAAGAGTTACGGTCTGGTCCAAGCGATTTATTACGAGTGTCCTGGAGAAGGCCTCGGTATAATTTGGACATCTGAGAAACATGATCGGCCATGACATAATCGTCCTGAGTCATCACTAATGCATATGTCGGGTCAGCCGTCGTGTCCTCTGTGACTGGCAAGAAGGTAATGTCACCTTCTTGGTTCAGAACGGCGCGCATCCCAAGGTCCTCACGCTGCTGAATAGATTCTGCGTTGGAAGCAAAGGCCGTGGTTGCGCGCGTGGATGTCTCGTCTTCGTTTTTCATACCAGATCGCTTAAGATGTGCTGTGATCATTTTGGCGATCTCGGGAGCGACGGTAGGCGGGGCGGCGGCTGTAGCAACGGTTTCCCGTTGCACAGCTGCGGTGTCCCGCTGCTTGGTCCAATTGCAGAGGTTATGAGCGGCACGCATGCACATCAACTCATTGGTCTTCGCACGATCAACGTTTGATGCTGAAACGTGATCGTATAGACTCTGGATGTGTACTTGACGATGGTGCCACGCGATCAGCAACATGTGGGACAAACTATGAGATTGTGGCTCATTAAGCGGCTTCACTGCGGGCTGTTTGAAAGCGTAGAACTGACTTGGCTTAGAGTTCATTACGCCGTAAAGGTTCTTGAGTGTTGCAAAGGTGACCCATTGCGCAGCGAAGCGAGCCCAATTCGCACCTGTCTTCTGGCAGTGCCATCCATCATCCTTGGTGCGATCCATAGCTTGTGTCCATGCCGAGTTGTTGATCACGGAAATACCACGTGTCTGCATAAGGATGCACATATCTTTCGAGATGGTGTCGAAGTGGTGAGGTAAGCCCCAATCTTTGGCCGTGCCAGGGCCAATGACGTGAGGATGTTTATACCAGTTCGCAACGTCGCAAAATCTATCAAGGCCGATAGTGATATGCGGCATCATCTCGAGCAGGCATCCTTCTTGTGCTTCCCACTTGCGTTGGTACGCACGGTGGTCCCGTCTCTCCCAACCCAGGTCCACTCTTTGGGCATCGACGCTTTTCTGATTGTAGTCTGGGAACGTGATGTCATTGTTGTTCCACCAGAAAGTGGCAGTGGCACCACGCTCATACCACAATTGTTTGTAATGAGCATCAAGGTCGGCCCAAGTGTCCCATAGGGCTTCATCCATGTCGAAGTAGCGTTTTCTTTGAGCGGTGTCCATATTCTGGGCGCGCATCTCTCTGAGCGTGGCGATTCTTTCGAGGATATCACGATGGAGACTCCAGAGTGAAGAATCAATACCATCAATGGTGGTGCCTTTTTCAGCGTTGGTGATGATGATTCGTTTCCTCTCCGATGCGCGCTGGTCCAGGCGCTGAAGCTCTGGGACAAGGCTCAGGTCTTTGTAGTCTTCATCGGACGAACCCTCGGGGCGCTGAGGAAGATCCGTGCCTGGCTGCACGACGTGATCATCCCAGAATCCTGGAATGTAGGAGTAGAACCAGTCCAGGATACAGTCCCGAGCCGCGGAAGCTAGAGTAGCGAGAGTGGCTCCTCCCATGTACTCTTGATGCACTGGGGTTGGGACGAGTAGCGTTGAGAAGGGTTGTCCAACTTGGCGAATACAATCATAACTGCACAGCATGTTGATGGCCTCTTCAGGCGTATGGTAATTCTTGCTGGCTTTTCCCATCATAGGTCCCGAGTCGGTGAAGATGTAGAAGAATGGGGTGGCAGTGCCTGTAGGTCCAAGGGCATGGTTAATGGATAATCCAAGATCCTCTGTGGCGATCTGCATCCAGCCATTCTCATCCGCGAAGCATTTGAGCACGGAAGCGTTGGTCCACGTGTGATGCTTAGCGTGATCGAAGTCAATGAAATCGTTAGTACTGTCACCGCGGGATGTAGAGTCGACACAAACCAACAAAGGGTCGGAAGCCAACAAAGGAAAAATCTGTTGGTTGTGTGATGGGCATCCGAAGATGTTTCGCCTTTGGTGTCCCGGGGCCCAACCACTAGTACGAACGGGACTCTCGTTCGCCTCAAGATCCTCACGCCAGGGGTCATCACCGCTGCGGTTTCCCGCTGCGTACCGATGGCTACCTGTGTCGGTGAGGCTAGCGATGGCAATGGGGCGAGACAAGTGGCCCCCAGATCCGCACGGCGGGTCCAAACGACAACTGCCCCCTCCTATGTACTGGACATGGTGTTTAGGCGAAGCCGTTCTCATGTCACTGTTGAGGTCTCGAGCGGGGATGTCGATGAACGAGTTGTAGCTGTTTTCCACGAACGAGCCAACCGAACCTGCGCAGTCGCTCTTGTGTGGAAGAGCTTTTCCGTGTGTCAATCCAGAAGAGGGCCGCTGGACACCAAAATTATGTCCGTGGTTGGGCGTGTCAAGGCTGTCTAGACCTAATGGGCGATGCTCCTTTTTGTACATGTTATATGTGTCGTCAAGAGAAGAGCTCACCCATCCACCAATGGCGGTGGATCCAACTGTAGGCCATGCACCTTGGAGTCCTTTCCACAAGGACGTGGCGGCGTGTGAGAGGCACTCAAGAGATGGCATCAACGGTGGCTCGCTGCGGTCTCCCGCTGCTATGCTGCGGTCTCCCGCTGCACGGCCGAGAGCCTCGGTGCGAAGCCAGTTGAAGTGTTGAACGATGCTCTCCAATTGGTCACTCATATCCTGGTCGAGGCAAGCCTTGGCTACATACGAATGCAGAACAGCAAAGAATGAAACCCAAGGGAGTGTCGTCTCCTGCAACAAATTTTGCATCGAAATCTCAACATCCATCTCGACGGCGTTACGAAGGTCTTTGCGTGAGCATTCAAAGAAGCAAACGCCAGAGCCCTCTGGTGCCTGAGTAAAAGCTATCGGGAACTTATTAGGGCCTGCCCACGGTAGCTGAGTATCGAACGCAGCTCCAACAGTGGGTCGAATGATTGGTCCGTCTGGAGGAAGAGTGCAGGCTGGGCGCTGGATCATCGGAAAGGCACGATTGAAACGTAGTGTCCCTACCGTGATGTCAACCATGTCAACGTCCTGGTCATCGCCGCCCTCTAGCGGGGGTTGCCCTCCGCGTGGAGCGATAGGGTTACCCCCTGAGCTCGATGCGGTGCCCCGCTGCATGCTGCTGGGGGGGGAACGAGACCGATCCTGCAACTGTGTGTTTGAGCCGCCTACCGCGCCGGGGCCGGGCGGGGCGGCCGGAGTTTCCTCCGCTTGGGAAGAAACGCTGCGGTTATGCATAACATCTCGTATGACAAGAGTGCGTAATGGTGAAGAAGAGGATGGATCAGGGGAAAACGATGTCGAAAAACGGTGACCTGTATCAACCTTACGCCTAGGTCGGGTCGGGCTCTTAGCCCGGGTCGGTCCCGGGTCTATCTTGGCCCGGGTCGGACTCTTCTGAGGAGACTTGCGGCGTTGTCGCGGGGACTTGGTCCGTGCCGAACGCGAAGCGTTGGACCCGGCTGTGATGCTGTGATGATGTCCACATGAGTGTAAACCCTCGTGATTAGGGCAACTAACACATCTCTTACCACATGCTGATCCAACGTCGCCCCAGGGGTCCTTGGAAGTGAGAGCAACTTCACAGAAGCCCGAACATCCTGGAGGTTTTGGGGGGTCGGCGGAGCGCGGTAGACCGTTGGGTGTAGTCCCCTCGTCCTCCGTCATAATATGTTGACGCATGCCCTTATTCAATGATGGCGAAGGACGAATGAGCGCAAGCTCGAGAAGTGTTTCCCAAACATTACTCTTTTTGGAGTCGAAATGTTTTGTCATCATGTCCGCAACTTGTTCCTTAGTACCTACGTGTGACAAATGTATTTGTTCATGTTGACAGACTTCCACGATCCAATCCAGGTTGATTCTATGCGTGCGATGGAGGTGCCGCAATGCGGCCGTCCTACCTTTCTTTACTATTTTGATAACAGCCTCATTGTCCTCGGCTATGATAAGCTGTACCTGCGGAGGGCTCTTATCAGAATGAACTTTGCGATGGTCATGTAGAGGATGTTCGCCGAATGTTGTTAGGGTGGATCGAGGAGAGTCGTAAGTGCCAGGGGCTGGGGTTTCCCCCTGCTTCTTATACGTTGGTGGCTTACGCTGTTTGCGAGAGGCGGCGGCAACTTTGTCGCGGGCCTTGTGCGTGCGTACAACGTGTTCCCAAAAGGTAAGCAGGGGGAGGCCTTCAACCCGGAGCGCCGTGTCCAACGCGACGATTTCGGATTCCGTAGAGGAATGCGAAACCACGGTTTGTTTCTTACACACGGCGTTGATCGGGAAGAAAGTGTTGGGGCCCACAATGGCGGCAAAGATGCCTGTCGTGGACTTCGACGTAGAAACGCAATCTGCATGGAAAGTTTATCGGCGGAATCGCCGATGAAACCCTGCAAGCTATGCGTCTTGGTGTGCTTGATGTAGCATACAAGACGATGCAGACGTTTGTCGCAAGCTCGATTCCATTTGGTAATCTCGCGTGCCAACATGCAGACTGGGTGTAATAAATCAAAGCGACAGCATCTTGCAAGATATAAAATTTTCATTAGAATGCTAGCCGACTCTGGGCCGAGGACGCCTTTGTCGTCAAAATCAGCTTCTGTGAAGGCGGAGTCCTCGATCCCAGGGGTTTCGGAGACGGGTAGGTCTCGGAACTTCATTTTCGGATTGTCTGGAATGGTAGCAGCAACCTCAAGGTAGCGATCGATACATTGATCAATATACCCGCTCATATTATATCGAACGCCACGGACATCTTTGGCAGTTTTGTAGGCTGCGGTGTCCCGCTGCGCTTGAGGCAGTAAAGGACGAATGGTCTCCATACGTTTGTTGAACTCGATGTCTGATACTGTATATGGAGCCTGTCCGCAACCGAGATATTGATCAAGTTTGGTGGGCGGATCGATCTTGATGCCACTGTCCCGGATGAGGTTCCATCCAGCTTCTAGGTTGTCTTTTGGGCCGGCCAGCTTGAAGTCGTCGACGTATACAGAAAGCACCAATCCAAGTTTAGGGTGGGTCCAAATGCATTCCCATCCTTGCATAGGAACGAATCCTTTGCTCTCAAGGCATGTCTTGCAGTGTCTCTCCCAAAAGACGCCAGCAAGAGGATGACCATAGAGAGCCAAACGGAGTCGGCACACTGGGTCTTTGTATTTAGCCCATGATGCTGGTCGACGTGCCGGTGGGAGGCTGATCCATGTATCGACTGGGTCAATTCTGCCATCACCGTACAACAGCGCCTGCGTGTATGCTGATGGTGCATCACTCTGGCCACCATTGTAACCGGGCATGTGTGCGACAGCATCAACGAGCTTTGACGCCTCAATATGTGATGCGCTGGATGCGGCATCAGCGAAAACCGCTGCCAGGCCTGTTTGATCTTTCATAGTATTTCCCTGGCAGACAACGCGACCTTTGTATTTGCGCTGTTCAGGTGGGAGTTCGGAATGCTTCACAGTTCCGAGTTCGAGTAAATGCGCAAAATGAATGTCCTTGCCCTCCTTAATGGCCTGCGCTTTGACATCGGCGCGTTCAGCGACGGTGTCTTCCATCCATGTGGTCTGTGCGCGAAGGCGATCATATTCTCCACGGAGAGCGGCCTGAGCGCGTGGTTCTGCTGCTATTTGCTTTTTATTGAGGCTCTGGGTTACCAGTGCATATGAGGTAGTGTCATGACGCTCACGATGTGGCTGATCAGGCGTGTCTTTGGGAAGGACGGCCATGATAGGAGCATCAACAAAACCAGAAACCTTTCTCTGCCGGACAAACTGCGCGAAGGTCGGTTTCAGTGTGAGACAAAGTGGATTCAAAGCACCGAATGATGGACCATCGTGTTCAATGTTTGTCGGTGATGCGATCGCCACTGCAGCTCTAGCCGGCGATGATGACGATGCACTGGTTTCCCGGTGCTCATTATCGGGTAAATAATACAGCACCGTAGTAATGTCTCGGGGACCACCAGGGACAGGGGCGTACAAAATAGTTTTGTCTGTGACGCCCTTGACTTGTTCATCTCGGATCGTGTCTCCGGTGTGCGTGTCAAGAGTGATTCGACGCTCGACACGGTCCCATTTCGGTCCATCCGAGCGTGTTGTTCTAAGTGTTTTGGCGTTGTTATCCTGACGAGACCAGGTCTTCAGAGTTGCCTCATGTCGGCGAGCACGAGCTTCGGAAACCAGCTTACCGAATGCACGTTCGCGATCGCGCTGGCGACCAGAAAGACACTTCCAGTACTCCACGAGACAGTGATCGGGCCTAGTAGTTTTCTGTATTTTGGTATCACGTCCCATTGATTTAATTTTGCCATCGGAAGTGTATTCTGGAGCATAGTAAAATCGCACGGTGCCTGTCCAGGGTTCTCCCAGGGCTCGATGATCGCTCTCACTGACTCCATCCCATGTGTCTCTGAACTTGTCCTGTCCCTGGAATGTCGATGTAGTTTCAAATTCACGAATTACATCGAACTTTTCCAATGGTACCGGTAGCCCTTCTGGGGCGTCCGTAGGGATAAACAACTGCAAACGTGGGGTACATATGTGACGAAGAATCGTAGCATCACGTACTTCCCAATAGTCTGGAGTTGCCGCAGGGGCGGTTGGTAATTCTGCCTCTGCGACGGCTGAGGTTTCCCCCTGCATCGGCGCATGAGCAGGGTCGTCCCAGTCCACAGGGTAGTTGCTGAGTCGTGGGGCATCGTTGCGCATGGGGTCCAAGCAGTCGCCGAGAGGTATTTTGGCCTCATCTGCAATGGACTCGTGCATGGGCGGGTTATGATGAGTAAGAACGCCGTCAGCGACTGGGAACTCAAGTTTAGCTGGTACGACGATATCTTTGACACGATGAACGTGACAATGGGTGCTGTCTGGGTATTTGGCATATGTGGCGGTGTCGACGACTAGGTAATCTCCAGACCATCGTCCGCCAGCATGCATATGATAACCCATGAACAATCCCTCGCGTGTCGTCTTCGTGAATTTCTTGCCATCACTATCTGTGTTGAGTTCCGGGTACAGGCATTTCCAATATACTTTGGAGCCAAAGGGTACTGTACGTCCATTGAATGACTCTCCGAAGCGAATCTCATATGGCGTAAGTTCCGCCTTATTTGGATCGGAAGATGCGGTACCGGTAGTAGACAGAGAGAAGTTGGTGGCATTACAGAAACATTGCATAGCCTCGCACCACCATTCATGTCCCAGACCAGAAGCCATAAGGACAGCCTTTGTGCCTTTGACCACGCGCTGCACAGCACGCTCTACAGTCCCGTTAGTCTGAGGTCGGTGTGGCGTGCTGGTATCATGGCGCCAGCCAAGTGTGGCACATGCTTTGATGAGTTCTTTGGAATTGTCGGTATAAATATGTTTAACCTCATCATTGGGGGCGACAAATTTCGTCAGACTAAGTTTGGTGGTTTCGGCATCCTTGTGCAATGCTGGATAGGCCATCATGGTGCCCGTGTGCTTGTCTAGGACAACAAGAGCACACCTTTCCTTCAGCCTGCCAGTGGCCTCATCATCTCCAATAATGATATGATCTGCTGTCAAGGAATCTCCAAATTTCTTCGGTACGAACGCCTCATAAGTAGAATCATCTTCGTTTTTCTCGAGATCTGAACGTATCTTATGTTTTCTTTTGCAAGGCTTGTTGCGAATCAAAGCTCGAGCGCATATCTCACAATCTGGGTGTTTGGGAGAATGAGTCAAGTAATGACTGGGGTCAATGCTCGGTCTCTCGACGACAGGGAGAGCGCACTCAGGGCCCTGCTGCGGGTCACCGCTGCACGAGGG